TCTATCCTCTATGGTCCAAGGTATTGGAGATGCATGTCGCTAGACGTGGTAAGAAAGGGTTCGTGACAGGGAGCTTCAAGGAGCCTAAGGAGAATAATACTGAGTATGAAGCTTGGGAGATGGGGAACGCAATTGTGAAAGAGTGGTTGATTAACTTCATGGATCTTACCATCATAGGCTTTGTCATTCATCTTCATACAGCTAAAGAAGTATGGGACAAGGTTGCTCGAACGTATTATGATGAGTCTGATATTTCTCATATTTATGAGTTGAAGGTGAAGTCATTCCAACTTCGCCAGGAAGGGAGACCTATCGGGGTATACTATGCCGATCCCAAAGCAGTTTGGCAAGACTTGGATCAAAGGAGACCATTCAAGATAGAATGTGTTGTTGACTTGAAGGCATTACACTCCTAGAAGAAATTCAACTGGATCGTGTGTATGTTTTCCTAGCAGGGCTTGATGATATTTTTGATAAAGTGTGTAGTGATATTTTAAGAACTCAACCTTTACCATATGTGGATGAGGTGTTCTCCATTATTAGGCGAGAAGCACAACGCCATGCAACTATGATGGGAGGTAGTGGTGTGGAGAACCAATGAGGAGCTTCTCCTATAGCTATGGTATCATGGCCACCTTCGGGTAGCCAGTTTTTTAACCCATCTCCAATGGCCAATTCTCGGTCATTCACTCGGGAAAATAAAGATGATCTGAAGTGCACTTTTTGTGGTCAAACTCGTCATACAGAGGATACATGTTTTCAGAAACATGAAGTACCAAAATGGTTCCCCGAATTGAAGAAGAAATTACGTTCCAAGGAACGAGCCAGTAATGGAGCAAGTGGAAGCCGAGCATCCATTGCCACTACCACCAAGGATGTCGTGCCCTCCTCAAGTGATCCAAGTCAAAGCTTGTTGACCAGGACCACTCTTAGTGAAACCTCGACCACTCCAGGTAGTATGGGGCGTGTTCTTTTAGCCTCTGATATGGAACATCATACAGATTGGATTCTAGACTCGGATGCAACTGATCATATGACTTTTGATAAGAATTTATTTTCTAGTATGACAACAAGTCCACGGAAATATATAGCAACTGCCAACGGAATAACAGCACTGGTTTTGGGGGCTGGCACAGTGCACCTCACGCCGGCCCTTCCTCTTCATCACTGCTTGCTTGTTCCCTCGTTATCTCATAATTTGTTATCTATTCCTCAAGTTACTGAGCAATTAGATTATGTTGTACTTATGTATCCAATGTTTTGTTTGCTTCAGGATATTCAGACCAAGGAGATAATTGGGCATGGCATTAAAAGAGAGGGGTTATATTATGTGGATAACGTCATTCCTGGCAGAGCCAATACGGTTCGAGCATCTCGTACTAATAATTTACAAGAAGTGTGGTTATTGCATTGTCGGTTGGGACATGCTTCCTTTGGTTATTTAAGGCGTATGTTGCCTAGTTTATTTCATGAAATAAAAGAATCAAACTTGCATTGTGAAGTATGTATTCTCGCGAAGAGTCATCGCGCTTCGTTTCCTCCTAGTATGAATAAAAGATTGTTTCCTTTTGATCTTGTGCATTTAGATGTTTGAGGTCCCTCTCTCGTTAGTACTACGTCTAAAGTTAAATGGTTTATTACTTTTGTTGATGATTGCACTCGTATGATGAGGATTTATGTGATAAAAAATAAAAGTGATGTGAGTATGGTGTTTCGGTCTTTTTTCTCAAATGGTAGCAATACAATATTCTCTGTTATTAAAGTTCTCCGTTCTGATAATAGAGGAGAGTATATTGGTTCCATGTTGTCTGGCTTTCTTTAGGAGCAAGGAATCCTACATGAGACTACTTGTTCTCGTACCCCACAACAAAATGGGGTTGCTGAGAGAAAGAATCGTCATATCCTGAAAACTACAAGCAAGGCAGCCGAGAAGTCATGGAAGGGTTTGTGTGAATAATGGAAACCGTGCTTTGCTCATTGGTGCATCTGTACCTAAACGGCTCTGGCATGAAGCCGTCACTTATGCGGTGTATGTTTTTAATCGTATGCCTTCTCGGGTTGTGGACTTTAGAACACCTTTTCAAGTATTGACCGATTTTGTACCCATCGTATCAAGTAATCATCTTCCTCCTCGTGTATTTGGGTGTGTAGCTTATGTTCATATCCACAAGATTCATCGGAGTAAGTTAGATCCGTGTGCTCATAGGTGCGTTTTTATAGGATTTGCTCCTCAACAAAAAGGGTATAAGTGCTACCATCCTGAAACTCACCATATGTATGTGACCATGGATGTTACTTTTTCTAAATCCGAGTTCTTTGATGCTTCGGTTTCAACACTTTCCGATCACCAGGGCAGACTACTAGTGATGATCTCAGGTGGTTGGAAATAAGTAGCTTAGGGGGACCATTTGGTGATAGTAACGGAGACTCTTAGCAAGGAAGTGCCAAGAATGTGGATAGTGGTTCTCGGCAATAGGCCGAGTGTGATGCGGGAAAGGGTGCTGCCGAGTGTGATGAAAGGGTTTCCTAGGAAATTACCGAGTGTGATGCAAGGGCTCAACTGGAAAGTGCTGATCCAGGTACGCCGCTCCAACAGCAAGTAGCTACCAAACCCACAACCCCCTCTCTCTCGAGCTCGATAGTGCCACCCTATGTGTCTTCTCTGAATATTCCTGAGGTAAGCACTACTAATGCTCATGTAACTAATCAAGATAACATTATGAGTACATATCAATTGTCGCCAAGGAAAAATCGTGGTGTTCCTCCTGACAGGTTTTCTCCTGAAGGGAAAGTGAAGTACCCAATAGCTAACTAGGTGTCATGCTCGAACCTTGCATCATAACGTCAAGCCTGGGTTAACAATGTGGAAGCAATCCAAGTACCAACCCGAGTTGAGGAGGCATTGAAGGATCCTAAATGGCCTGCTGCAATGGATGAGGAAATGATGGCACTACATAAAAATGATACATGGGAGATAATGAAGCTACCCAAAGGAAAGAAGCCAGTTGGGTGTAGATGGGTCTTTACAGTTAAATACAAGGCGGATGGATCGGTAGACAGATATAAAGCAAGGTTAGTAGCAAAGGGTTATACTCAAACTTATGGCATTGATTATCAGGAAACTTTTTCTCCAGTAACAAAGATGAATACGATACGTGTTCTGATTTCTTTAGCTGCAAACTTAAATTGGCCACTAAAACAGTTTGATGTGAAAAATGTATTTCTTCATGGGTACTTGGAAGAAGAGGTATATATGGATTTTCCTCCGGGGTACAATGCCAAAGGGAAAACCGGACTGTGTAGATTGCGAAAGTCACTCTATGGACTTAAGCAATCACCTCGTGCGTGGTTTGGTAGATTTACTCAGGTTATGAGGAGGATTGGGTATTATCAAAGCCATTCGGATCATACATTATTTGTGAAACGGGGAAGTGGTAAAGTGACTGCTTTAATCATTTATGTTGATGACATGATAATAACTGGTGATGATTTGGAAGAGATGGTGAAGCTTGAACAAAACCTAGCTGCAAAATTTGAGATGAAGAGTTTGGGAGACTTAAAGTATTTTCTTGGCATGGAAGTCGCTTGATCATCTAGAGGTATTTTCTTGTCTCAACGTAAATATGTTCTGGATTTATTAAAGGAAATAGGCATGTTGGGGTGTAAGCATGTGGACACTCCTATCGTAGAGAAACATTATTTGGGGATTTATCCAGATCAGGAACCGGTTGATAATGGTAGATATCAAAGACTGGTGAGGAGATTGATTTATCTATCTCACACTCGTCCAGATATTGAGTATGCGGTAAGTGTGGTCAGTCAATTTATGCATTCACCAAGTATGGATCATATGGAGGCAGTAATGAGAATCTTGGCATACTTGAAGTCTGCTCCGGTTAAAGGAATTTTGTATGAATGTCATGGACATATGAGGATCGAGGGATTTACAGACGCTGATTGGGCAGGTGATGTGACTGATAGAAGATCTACATCTAGGTATTTTACATTCGTTGGACGTAATTTGGTTACGTGGCGAAGTAAGAAGCAAAATGTGGTATCAAGATCTTCCGCTGAAGCCGAATATAGGGGAATGGCACATGGTGTGTGCGAGATGTTATGGTTATGAATGTTACTTTGGAGTCTTGGTTTCAAACAAAAGAAGGCAATGAAGTTGTATTGTGATAATAAGTCCGCTAGAGAGATAGCCGAGAATCCGGTACAGCATGACAGGACTAAGCATGTTGAAGTTGATAGACATTTTATCAAAGAAAAGCTGGAGAAGAAGATTGTGTCAATACCATTTGTGAATTCAAATGAACTGCTTGCAGATGTTCTTACCCACATTGTATGTAGTAGAAGGTTTGGTGATTTGCTTGTCAAGTTGGGCATGAGTGATATTTATGCTCCAACTTGAGGGGGAGTATTGGAAAAGTAAATATTTAGAAGAAAATGAATGTAAATATTTTGTAATTATTAAGTTTTTGTTTAGGAAAGGTTTTATGTCCTTTATTTGTTTCCCTTTGTAACAAGCATTGTATGTACCTTATTATTCAGAATTATGGAATACAGAAATCTATCCCATATAATTCTATTCTATAGTCATGTACAAGTTAGAAAGTCTTATTTTATGATATAAAAAGTCTTTATTTATCTTATATGAGTTTCGGATTTTTTTTTTTTTTTTTTTTTGTAATGGGAATTACATCTACAAGTTGCAGAATTGGCAGAAGAGTTATACAAAGAAATCAACCCGATCAGCTAATTTAATAAATATTGCGTCACACCAATGAGATCAGCCTTATTCATATCAATGAAAGAGATGGGAAACTGATTTGTCGACATTAATATTAATTAAAGACCATAACTTGAGCTAGCTTGTGCTTAATTTCTTACGCATAGGATAGCAGGTTTGAACTAAGCATCACATTCACAGCAAACAAATTAGATCATCAACAGAGAATAAAAAAGAGAGAGCATCCCAATCCCAACTACACTACGATATGGCTCCACCTGTACTACCAAGCCCTTTTCTGCTAAAAGCAAATACCAAAAACAAGTATTTGCGCTATCAACTTGATGCAGAAAGCGACCTTAATGAGATTGTCCAGTTTTTCGAGGATAATGAAAACAGCAGGTTCATAAAGTTCATCACCGAGAAGCCAAACAATGAGGACTACGCCGACAAGAATTATGTGCATATCAAATGCTCCTACATTGGCAACTACTTGAGAAGGGTGGACCAAAACAAGCTATTGGTCCTGGCCGCAGCTGCTGACCAAAACGAAACCAAAGACAATTGGGCTTGCACATTGTTCAAGGTCGAGCCTGTCGAACCACCTAACAGCAACAACCTAATCACGCGCTGCCGATTACGTCATTTGCAAACCGACCTCTTAACCACGCCATTCATTGAAAACATATTCGAATTAAGCCTCAACCAAAAAACACATGATGCTAGAGGGGTGGATATCTACCAATTATTGATCCACAAATGTATTTCTAATAGAGCATTTAAATCGAAACCCAAAAAATAAGTAAAAAAATAGTAGTGAGGCCAAACATTGCCTAAACGGGGTCTATACTCAAGAATATCAACAAAAAAGTCTTACATTAAGTTTAGAAACATCACGGTGAGGCAAAGGTGAAAACTAATAGATTTAATGATAATTTTTGTATGAATTTGGAAAACTGATCGAAAACAGTGAGCAACCACGTTGTTGTGAGAAATGCAAATCTTTAATCTTCACAAAATATTGTCCGTTTGTATTAGGAGAATATTTATAAACATTTGGAAGTGGTTTTACCAATTATTGAGCCACAAATTTAGTTTTAAGGGAATATTGAAGCTGAAACCTAAAATATAAATGAAATAATTTGTAGTGAGGCCCAAATTTTTGCCTTCACAAGGGTCTATACTCAAGGATATCGACGAAAAGTTATAGATTAATTTTAAGTACCTCATTGTAAGGCAAATGTGAAAACAAATGGACTTAAGGAAGTTTTTTTTATACAAATTTAAAAAAACCAACAAAAAACTGTGAGAGTTAACCCACTTTTTTTTTGTGAAAATGCAAATGTTTCATTTTTATAAAATATTTTCTGTAACATTAAGAAAATCTTAACAAGACATTTGGAAGTTCTTTTACCAGTTATTAATTCACAAATGTATTTATAGTAGAATATTTAAGCCGAAACCTAAATAATAAGTGAAAAAAAAATTGTAGTGAGGCCCAGCACATTTCTCAAAAGGTACCCTCAAGAAATATCAATAGAAAGTCTTACATTAGTCTTAACAACTAAGTCATCTAGATGTAGGTCTTATGAAACCAAGTCATTTACAGGTTACAAAACTTTTAATTGTTAAAAAAGACTCCACGCCTAATGCCAATGCTGTCATGTGACAAATATTTTTAATCAAAGACTCCACATCTGTAGCCATGTGCTTTGTGAAAGACCACAAAACATTTCTCACTTAATTGCACTTTCGTTCTCTAATTAAGTCTATAATTATATAACAAAAGACTTCACATCGATGTACTATGCAAGTTGACAATCAAATCCCTCATTTAGTCATTAATTTATTAAAGAAAAGTAATTGAAGGGAAAAGGACACCCAAACTGTTAGTGTGTTAATCCATTTATAAACTTGTACAAATTTTTCAAGTTTGAAATATAAATTATTCCTTTTAACAAGGCTAGAACTGGTAGAAAATAGTTTGAAAAGCGTTCAAGGAAATCGATAGAGCATCTCTAGTGGAAATATATGAACGTGAAATGTGAAAGCTACATTTATATCTCATTGATCAAAGTTCTCTATTGGTGCAGTTCACCTAACGTGATTTTCACGGCCCCTCACCATACAGGTGGAGAAGCAAAACCCGCTCCCTGACACTTGACGCAGTGAAGCCAATAGAAAGCGTGGAGAATTAGAAATAGGAATCATAGCTGTGGAAGAAACCACTCGACTAGGAAAGAGACTGACTCACTCAATCAGACAAGACAATAGAAATCACACAACCAGAAAATTGAACCGAGCAAAGTATATGCAGGAAGATTTTAATTAACATTCACGACTGACTGACAGTTCATTTAGTCCAAGAATTATAAAGACTTGCAAATATTAAAATGAGTTTTAACGAAACACTTACGGTACTGTTTATTTTTAACGAAAATTCATATTTTTATCTTTTTTGATACTATTCATTACACATTTATTTGTTCTTTTTCATTAAAACTAAAGTTCTTTGAACTTTTCGTTAATTTTCTTTATTAAAAGATCTATAGCCATACTACTTTATGAACATCGACAACCGCTCATTTTAATCGCACATAGAAGATATTGCAGGAAAATGCACATCCATCATTGTGTTTTATCATGTAATTCTTGTACGACTGAGTGACCATCCATTTAGAACAAGAATTATAAAGGCTTATAATATATATTAAAAGCTCAAGTTATTATGAGACTCTTAAAATGTCCAACAATAACATGATAATTTTTAAGACTATCTCCAACCTTTAGGTTAAAACTTTCAATTTTTAACCTATAAACAACTTTTCTTCTCCAACCCTTATGGGTTAAATTTTTAGTATGCGATTTTTAAAAAATGAATTTAGGATAATTTTTTTTTTCTTAAAGTAACTTAAAAAAATGATGTAGACTGTCCTAATTTAATTCTATGAACATTTTAACTTAAAAAATATTTAGATTCCAATAAATATTGAAAAATTACTAAACCGACACTATGAAACTCGTGAAACGCTATGAAGGATATGAAACGCTCAAAACGAATTTTTTTTTATAATTAACTTAGTCATTGGATTTAAATTTAGACTGGTAGATCATTTTTTTACCGTTGTATTTTATCATATTAGATTTAAGTCGTTGGATTTAATGAATTTATAAATATAAAACTAAAACAAGTACACATATATGGTGGGCTAGCTCCACTAACCCAGGAGGAATCCTGGGTTAAATTTTGCTTAGAAATGAGTTTTGGGTTAAAACTCATATTTTCCCCCCAAGAGTTGGAGCAAATTGGGATAAATTTAGAACCTAAAATTTGAGTTTTCCAAATGTTGGAGTAGGTGAGAACTTAATTAAACCTTCTTCAGATGGCATTTAAAGAGATAAATATTTACATCTTGTAATTTGACTAACAAAATTGGATTAATCACTAGTAAATATTCAATGAAAAAAAAAAAGAAAAAAAAAAGACAAGTTCAAGGGAGAAACAAATCCCCAGAGTTAGACCCGACAATTTCTGACACGACATGAAAACAACACAAAAATAACAAGTTTCAGATCAACACGATAACTAATCGGGTCATTATTGGGTGACATGTTAATAACGGGTATACACGCGGGTAACACGTGGGTAACCCATTTCGACCCATTAAGAAAAAAATTATTTTGATAATCTTAAAGTTTAATTACAAAAAGATTTATTATAAAATACAATAGTCATATTAATATATACAATATATTCTATATTAAATATATAGTTTAGTATTATTATTCTATATAAGTTAAAAAAAAGTTTTAGTTGTTATTTATTTTTATTATGAGAATTCCTTATTATCATTATCATTACTGGGATAAATTTTACTTAACATGTTGTACAAAATTAAAATAAACTAGTATAGTATTTGTATTGAGAAGAACTAAGAAGACATACATACAAGTATGAAAAATATGAAAGAATATATAAACACTCGTGATTCATTATTATTCATTCACGAGTAGATAATGGTTACACTTATATTATCATTTAGATTTTTAAAATCCTCCAAACCCTCATGAATAATGTTTTTTATTTGAGGGAAAAATTAATAAAATTAATAATAATTATGGTAGAAGTGTAAAAATGTAATATATATATATATATATATATATACAATCACTCATAGTGATGAGCTTTACAACTTTCATGAAGGGGTCAGCTTCGAAATCCAACATTATAATCCATAAACCTTAAATTTATATTTAACCATTAATTTTCATTTATGCTTTATACTTCTTACTGAATTTCATTTTTAAAATTTTCTTTTTTGAAAACATGATTATTTGGCTGATGTAAGAAGATGAACGGTTCAGATCTTTGATATCACGTTTCATCGTAAGATAAATGAGAGTAAATATGTACCGTTGGATTCTATTTCACTTATATTATTATAATTTTTTTGGACGAAAAAACCCCTTCTCTATTCCAATATTTTCCAATTTTACCATTTGATCAATTTCGGTAAGCAAAAATATACTTAAAAGAAAAATGCGTTTTTATGTTTTGGATGCGACAATATAGTATGTATATACTTATTTAGTATTATGTTTTTTATTTGATTATTTATTGGTTTAAAATATATTTTCCTTAATGGGTAACGGGTTGGTTCATATTACCTGTTAATATTATTGGGTCGATTTCGGGTCGGGTCATTTTACCCATTTATTTTAACGGGTGTTACACGACACGACCCGTTAAGATATCGGGTATGACATGAAAATAGACGAATGATTTACAAAAAAATAAAGTAATAAACTTCCGTTACTGTACATATAAGAGCATCTTCAAAAAGTGCAAATCACTATGAAATGGTAAGAAAAAACAGTGATGTGAATTTAAACTAACCTAATAAATAGATTAATTCAAATCAAATTTACTCGCAAGTGCACAAATCAGTTGTAGTGAAAATATGTAAATACGAGATTGAATCTACCGGAGTTGATTTAACAATTTAATCCTATAACTATTACTTAACAAATTGAAATAAATATTGGATTTGTATCAAAGAATAATTAAAATTAACAATGCTTAAACAGAAATATGATTGAGAACAAATGTAAGAAAACACTAAGGCTTTGATTCCACCACTAATTGGCATACCCTAGTATCAAATTGTCAACTCCTGAATTATCAAATTAATGAAAACAACTTCCGTGCATATGACCGTGGTCAGGTACACATGCCAATAATTTCCCAAAGAGATGTGAATTTTACCGTCGTCAGGCTTAAACTCAACTATTTCTATAGTCTACATTTCCTTGGTCCAGTATACACAAACATGTAGAAATCCAATTAAGTGTGGTGAGAAACAAATTAACCACTTATCAACTTGGTCACGTCAAACAAATAGCTAATTTCTAGGAAGCCACACAAACCAATATTCGTCTACAGTCGAATCAAAATATAAGTTCATGATTCTCATTCACAAAGCATTGATAGTATCCAATTAATGGTCATAAATAAATTCATATGCAAATAATTTGGATATCAAAATCCTAAGCTATGGTCAAGCACAAAGAACCTAATATCAAAATTGCAAGTCAACTAATGAATGAAAACTAATCATCAATATGAAATTCACAAATTGAATAATCAAATAACTAGAATAATCATAATTAGGGCTTCCTCTTAGCCTTAGCTAAGAATTTAGAACCCCATGAACGAAGAATTCATAGTAATTCTAAGAAGGAAATTTTGCATAAAATAAAACTAGAGAAGAAGAACCAAATCAAATCCTCGCTGCCACTGCTACCCTGTCTGCTTTTATTTGCGCCCAAGTCTTCCAAAAAATAGGAATTCCAGTCAATTTGAAATTCTTTCCTAAGATATCTCCACCGCCTATTGGTCTTCAACCTAAGAATAAAATAACATTTAATTAAATGGATGAAGCCAATGTAATTAGGAAGACTAAAACATATAAGATGTGTCAAAAACTTGTTAAATTCCACTTTTATCAATAAGCATCTTAATCCTTATAAATTACAAAAACTAAAGTAATTTAATTAAAATAGTCTGAATGAGGCACTAACAAATATAAATAACAGGGTAACAATTGTAATAAATACGTGCCTATCAAACAGCAACTTTATTTTTAAACCAAAAAGTAAGTTCTGATGTGACTGACATAGAGACGCCAAAATTCATCAAAAGTAAACGTTCGAAGATTAGGTAATGAAACGAAATCATCGACGGTTGGAAATGGAAATCACAATTTAACGGTCATTTAGCTCCGATTTTGATGTATTTTTTAAACTACATTCCTCAATCCTAGAAGAATATAAAAAATGAACCCAATCATCAACTTCGAAATATTTACACTACTGGATACCTCAAAAGCTTACGTTCTACTTAATGTGAGTACAAAATAAACTTTAAATGTTTGTTGAATCTATTGTTTTGACGGCATAAGCAATCTACAAAACTAGTTTCCACGATCCAACTATCAAACTTGTTTGTATATACTCCGAGACTGCATATACCAAAAATCATCCAAAACAAACATTTCAAGATTTGGTAATGAGGTGAAATCCTTCGCATGTTAGAAACGAAAAATCAAGATTAAAAGGCTATATATAGGACCTTTGGTTTTGATAATTTTTTTGAAAAAACAGTAATTTAGAGTAAAACCATACACTGAATTGTCTTGATCATCAAATTCGATGATTTACCTTTGGAAATTAAATTAAAAATATAAGGGAAAAAAAATAATTTTTTCACTTTTGCTTGACGAATTAGGTGCAAGTTGTCAGATCAACTTCTAACGATTCGTCAGCCATCACTTATATATTCATTGGGCAAACCTAAAAATTCTCTCCTAATTTTTTGCCAAAACATCAATTTCGCAACTAGATAAATATAATTAAGTAACTTAGTTTTGAAACATCATAGAGAGGCGAAGGTGAAAACAAATAAGTTTTAAAATCGTGACACCTTTTTTGGGTAAAATGCAAAATTTTAGCATTAATGGAATATTTTCAAGGCATTTGGAAGTAGTTCTACCAACTAAACACATATAAGTGATGCACAAAATGTTGCTAAAATGGGGTTTCACTCTCAAGAAATATCAACAAAAAGTATTACATTAATTTTATAAACATCATGGTGAGGCGAAAGTTAAAACAAATAGATTTAATAATGATTTTTGTTCAAAATTGCAAAATCGTCTAAAAATCGTGAGTGTTACCCACGTTTTTTGTGAGCAGTAAGCAAATCTTTATAGCGTATCTTAAAGTGTTTTTACTAATTAATGACCCACAAATGTATTTCCAATAGAAAAACCCAAAAAATAAGTAAAAAAAAAAAGGTAAATTACACAAAACTACCTCAACTATTGGGTCATTAACAATACCTCATCTTTAAAAAGTTTCAATGTCATTGCAACAACTGACGGAATTGATAGACAACTGACGGAAGGTATGACTGTAATTGTATCCTGCTTGGATTTCATTGAGTGGTTCGATACACATTGTACTCTGCGATTCTGTTGAGTGGTCCATAATCATATCCACTCGGATTTCGTTGAGAGGTCCAAAATCCCTTCTACTCTGCGATTCCGTTGAGTGGTCCATAATCATATCCACTCGGATTTCGTTGAGAGGTCCAAAATCCCTTCTACTCTGCGATTCCGTTGAGTGGTCCGGAATCGTATCCTGGTATAGATTCCGTTGAGTGGCCTGGAATCCCACTTGGTGTTTTGGTTCCGTTGACTGGTCTAGGACCCGATATTGATGGATTTCATTGAGTGGTTTGAAATCACATCATTTGACTTGTTGGTTCCTTGGATTCAATTTCAGCTTCAGCGATGTAGGTTTCGGTCGAACTGTGTCGCTCTAGCCCTGCATTTCGATGTATTGTATGTGTTATTGATTGGTGTGATTATTGGATAGTGTTGGAATGCATGTGTGGGTGAATGGATAGATGGCTAGAGAATATTATTGTGCTTTGTTGAATGTTCTTTGAGGTGCTACATGCTTGAATTGTGGTATTATGATGAGACGTAGTGAGATATGTGATGAATGTTTGAGTGAAGTGAACTACGAATGGCTTGATCCCTATTTAGGGTACGTAGGCAATCTAACGAGGAGGTTAGATGTAGTCATAAATTATACAAAAAATTACTATGCGATTCGATTCTCGAGTTGTGCTTTGTGATAGGGATTTTACCACTTGCAAAAGTAGGGATAAAAACACTTAAAAATACTTGCAAGAGTACAAGGTTGTCATAGTATAGCAGCACAATGAAGGTCGTTTTCCACAGGGATTGAATGAATAATTTATGTTAAATCCAAATCTTAATTAATTATTTGAAAACAAAGTTTAGAAGAGGTTGATTTTATGACTTAAAATATTAAAAATGAATTTAATTGAAAACAATTAAATAAATTGGGAAAGTAAAGAAAACCAAAGAAAATAGTTTTGAAAATAAATTTAAGCACTAGGGTTTCGCCATCACCTTAACAATCATACATAGTTCTTCCATTTACTTATGAATTAAACATGCATATTTTGAAGGTTAGGTTTTCCTAAAGTATGCCCTACTTGGAACCTCCAACATAGAACGTATATCTAACATGCAACCCGTCTGTGGTGTCCAGATCAAATGTGAATATGCAAGACTTATAAAGTTTTGTGAAATCCTTTTGAAAAACCATATAACCCTTAAGACGTGTTGTCCATCCTAAGAAGTTACACATATTAACCACAAGAAGCCAACGCCAATTCTACGGATAGCCCTCCGCCAAAATTGCATCAAATTACTTTTCTAAATATCCTAATGGTGGCCAATCATCAATACAATTAGATAGTTTAAAGCACAATGATTAATAATTCAAAACTTACATGCATAATATCATAAGCAGATTAAAAAGAAACTACATATTCTTGCTAAGGGTCGTGCCTCACCCTAGCAAATGAAACTAGTTACTAACAACCATAAAACAAAATATTATTAAGAACATGGATAGAAAACACCTTGAAAATAAACTTGAATCCTCCAAAGTATTGTGTGCGTTCTCCTCATGTTCTCTCCTCCTCTTTTACCCTAATGGCTAAATATCTTATTTATACTAATACAAACTAAAACCCAAAAAGGTCTTAGAATAAAACCATGAAACATAATAAAATAATAAAACAGAAAATAAAAGGTTTCCTATGTGAACTAGAATTCGGAGTTCTCAGAAAATCAGACTTCTGACCAACCAAATTAACTCCTATTTGATCCCAAAATGTCTCTTTTGAAAGCTGGAGACGTCCCATACAAATCCTCAGAAGGAATCTTCCTCAAAATATGACATCTTGACCTTCAAAATACAAAAAACGTCCAAAAATGTCAATCTGAGAAAGCTGCGCATTGGGCCTTAATTTCATCGCCACGGTCAAACGGCTTGGTAGAAAAATCTGGAATTTTGATACAATCATCTTGAAAGACTCACGAACATCCTCTAATTAGAATCACTCCAAAATTCATCCTTTTGGTTACTTTTTTCTCCAGATGAAGTCGAATGTCCTACATTAGAAATATACAACAAAGTATCAAAATTCTACCAAAATAACCAATAAATTAATACTAAGATTAGGGTAAAATATATGGTAAAATATTGACTCATCACTTTGCCATATCCCGGAGGTGGGGGAAGTTAGAGATATGGGTATTTGATGACATCACATGTCGATCCTAGACGTATATCGGGATCGGGGCGTGACACCGACAATATGTATAAGGCTACTGTAGCTAATTATTGTTACAATAATGGTTTGGATCCACTATTACTTGTTTTACTAAAGAGGTGGTTGAACAAATTCTTAGCATTCCAATTAGTTTTGATGCTTTGACTGCCAAGTGTGTCTGAAGTGGAATAAATGATGGTAATTTTTCAGTTAAATCTGCTTATTTTTGGGCCATTAGGCCTAGTGCTTTTCCTAATTGGTGATGGAATCTCATTTGGAAACTTCATATTCCTCCAAGTTAAGAGTTTCTTATGGCTGCTCTATCTTGATAAGATCCTCACTAATGAACAAAGGCTGAAAGTCTTACATTACTTTTAGAAATATAGCGGTGAGGCAAAGGTGAAAACAACTATATTTAATGATGATTTTTATACAAAATTGCAAAACCAACTAAAATTAATGAGCACCCACATTTTCGTGAGAAATGCAAATATTTTGTCTTCCCAAAATTTTCTCCGTTAGCATTAAGAGAACATTTATAAAGCATTTGGAAAGGTTTCTACCAATTATTGAATTTAGTTTGAATGGTTTATTTAAGCCAAAACCTAAAATTAAGTGAAAAAAAGTTGTAGTGAGCCCCAAATATCTAACCCATCAATGTGTTCGATCTTGTAACTATGTACAAGTTAGAAAGTCTTATTTTATGATATAAAAAGTCTTTATTTATCTTACATGAGTTTTGGATTTTATATTTTTTTGTATTTTGTAATGGGAATTACGTCTACAGGTTGCAGAATTGGCAGAAGAGTTATACAAAGAAATCAACCCGAACAGCTAATTTAACAAATATTGCACCATACCAATGAGATCAGCCATGTTCATATTAACGAAAGAGATGGGAAACTGATTTGTCGAAATTAATATTAATTAAAGACCATAACTTGAGCTAGCTTGTGCTTAATTTCTTATAAATAGGATAGCAGGTTTGAACTAAGCATCACATTCACAGCAAGCAAATTAGATCATCAACAGAGAATAAAAAAGAGAGAGCATCCCAATCCCAACTACACTATACGATATGGCTCCACCTGTACTACCAAGCCCCTTTCTGCTGAAAGCAGATATCAACAACAAGTATTTGCGCTATCAACTTGATGCAGAAAGCGATCTTAATGAGATTGTCCAGTTTTCTGAGGACAATGAAAACAGCAGGTTCATAAAGTTCACCACCGAGAAGCCAAACAATGAGGACTACGCTGACAAGAATTACGTGCATATCAAATGCTCCTACAACGGCAACTACTTGAGAAGGGTGGACCAAAACAGGCTATTGGTCCTGGCGGCAGCTGCTGATCGAAACGAAACCAAAGACAATTGGGCTTGCACATTGTTCAAGGTCGAGCCTGTCGGACCACCTGACAGCAACAACCTAATCACGCGCTGTCGATTACGTCACTTGCAAAGCGACCTCTTAACCAGGCCATTCATTGAAAACAGATTCGAATTACGCCTCAACCAAAAAACACCCGATGCTGGAGGGGTGGATATCTACTCAGTCTCCCAAGTCAGATGTTGATTATCAGTATGCATGATGTTTGTGGGTAACGTCTCTGGAAACCCTCACGAGACTTCACTCGTCCCATTTGGGTCACCTATGGGTTTAAAAGGCTTGTTGCATGTGCGAATGCAATCGTGTTCCCCGCGAAAGTAGCATTGGTTTTCATCACTACTTTTTTCCTTGTTTTTAGTTTTTGCATTTCGCTGTAATCCGTGTGTTTATAGCAATAATAATAAACTCATGTCTTATCTTTGTGTTTGGATAAGTCATCTGCAAGTGTATGATTAACTAGCTTTTAGTGTAATCCGTGTGTTTGTTGCAATAATAATAAAGATTGGTAATTCAATTGTCTAACTACTCTACATGTTCAAAACTCAACTCAATTAGATTTTTTTGCTTGGCTTGAAACTGGGGAGCTTAATGGATAGCAATGAAGTACCCGAGATATCTTTTTTATGTATCTAAGCCATAAATTTGGAATTAGGGATCGTTAGATACAACCAAACACAGAGTTTGAGAAATTCAAATTTATGTTAATCATTATTTCAGAGGGACTCAGAGTTCGCGGGGGGAATTGACGACGGAGCTCGCAAGGGGATAGTCTTTTTTTTTTTTGCAGCGAACGGTAAAAACAGCGGTGAAAAACTTGGGAAAATTGACCTTTAAGTGTCGTTTTTTGCAACAAAGAGCAAGTATCGCTTGTCTTTATATATTCCTCATTCCTGCATTTCTTCTCGAGTACAATTGGTAGATATCTTCCCAAGGGGTTTAGGAAATTAGGAATAATAATTTTTTTAGTGGAAATGGTTATTGAGGTTTGCATAACTCCTCACTTTTGTCCTTGAGATTTGAAATCGATAGAATTGATCCCTGAGTTTGTCCGCAATCAATCATTTTCGTCATTCCGTAAAAAATCTCAAATAAGGATAAAATGACAAAAATACCCTCAACTTTTGTCAAATCATGATGGCCTATTGTGTATTACATTGAGGGTAAATTTGTCATTTTAATTCTTATTTAACTCAATTTTTCACCAAATGACCAAAATGATTGTTGGTGGACTATCTCATAGACCACTCTATTGATTTTGAATCTCAGAGACCAAGGTGACGAAGTAGGCAAATCTCAAGGACTCCATTTTGACTAAAAAACTTGATTTATGACATTTACTATCCAACTTGAGGGGACTATGCAGAATTAATATGATCAAATCATTTTTTTATATATATACAAATGATATTGTTTATGAAATAAATATAGTTAGTTGTTAAAAGAGAGAGATCATTGGAATTGAAGTCGCACCAACGTGCGTATACATGATTATAAGAACCATCTACGATATTGATAAAATCATATTATATTACTTAGATTTTATGAATGACTTACTTTCTTTGATATGACGTGCGAGATGAATTGATTGTGACCACTATTATGGTAATATTATTATGCAGGTAGTTTTTAATATATATATATATATATATATATATATATATATATATATATATATAGGTGTTGAAATATCCCACATCAGCCATATCTCTAAGTACATAAGAGTTTAAATAGCATGTCCCCACTTCATCTAACACCAAGGCCTTTTGTGATAAAACTTCACACCTGACAGATTGTGTGGGCAATAATTACCAAGTTGGGGCTATATCGATATTGTTGGATGTGGGCCCTAAGCTCGTCTCTTTGATAATTCTACAATAGATGATTTCAAAATGGAGATTATTCAATTGATTTTTGACGAGATAAAACTTGATCCACTCATACTTTATTTATCAATCCCTCAGGACATAGCGAGAATCAGGAGAACCTCAGTGGTGGCAAGTGGGCTTGGTAGTGAGGTTTCATCCTTTGGATTTTGGTGATGATTCCTCTACTGCATATTTATTTTGTCAGTAATATTTGCACGATCGCACTCTTGATTATGCATAGCACTACACTTTTATGTGTTTATTGTTGTATGAAACTTCTAGCTGCTCTGATGTGATGTGATAATAATGGGATCTAAACCTTGAATATATATTCCCAAGTGGGGAGGTTGATTAGGAAACTTTGTAGCACCTTTTGATTTATTATTAATGAATGTTTTGATTCAAATTCACTCACATCGTAATTGTCTTACTATGGCTTTGTTATTAAGTTGGCTTGTGAAGTCATTCCTAAATGGGGCCATATGGTCTGACAGCCAGGATATCTCGGCCTCGTAACTTGTGTTATTGCGGTCAGGGTGTCAAAATGATTAGATTAACAACGAGGACATCTGAGGCAAAATATGACTTGTCTCCATTGAAGATAAGATGAAAGAAAATCAGTTAAGATGGTTTGGGTACATGAAACAAATATCTAAAAAAGCTATGGTAGAAAAGGCAACTATGAGAGGGAGGCTTAGGGCATAAGGGGTGGAGGAAAAGTTAGGAAGACTTGGAAATAGACTATAGGAAATGATATGAAGTATTTGTAGCTAACGAAAGATTTGGTGTTAACTCCATCGTAGTGGAGTACAGTTGACCCCACTTAATAGCATAACGCTTGGTTGTTGTTGTGTTTTGTTGTTGTAGGAATGTAACGACCCGTTCCCAATTATTACGGTTTTTATAATTTTAAAATGTGAAATTATGAAAATACCCTTTGAGGCAAATACGTTGACTTTTGTTGACCGCTTTGTTGTGTCACATGAGATCCCTTTTCTTGGTGTATACTTGTAGCACTTGTCACTAGGAATGCGTGGGCGTAAACGGAACGTAAATTGGAGTTATAATGAAAGAGTTATTAACGAACGAAGTCGATGGCAAAATGGTCAATTGACAATAAATCTGAAAGGCTCTAGATTTTGTTGGAGCATCAGTTTGTACCATGTATGTGGCTATGATGGAAAAGAATGAATAGAAGGGAGAGAGATGGATGGAGGAGAAATGACAGAAATGAGGGTGGATGCCCAATGAGAAAGAAGAGAAAGAGAAAAAGTGACCAATGAGAAAGGAGAGAAATGAGGAGAAATGAGAGAGCGGAGGAGTACTGGATCACCCTTGAGTCGGTTCCTCCCCGCTAACCCGACCTATAGCGTGACCTTTCTGACCTGTTTCCACTGGTTTTCGGGCGATCCAAACCTCGCCACCACCTGCAAACTAACCATCATCTTCTCCTTCTCCATTTCCAACCAAATTTCACTAGGTTTAACCTTGAATTCGTGCAGAACGAAACCCGTGGGTTCCGGGGGTGCCACGGTAGAGATTTGCCGATCATGAAAGCTACGTCGACCACCACTACCATCAAACCACTCATCTTGAACCCAGGAACAAAGCCCACACAAGTTTGGGGGCGTTGGGTTCAATTTGAGGACGAATTGGAGAGCACCCATTTCTAGGGTTCTGCTGGGATCGAGGGCAATTTGAGGTGTTTCCCAGTCGAATTGGACCTCGACCTAAGTATGAAAGTTGTTCCTTTCATTGAGATCTTCATTCCTGTAAAATTTGGGAATTTTTAGAATTGTTAAATTTTTCAGCGAGTCGAGGTGGTCTGCCGCCACGTGTGGCTCTGCGTGGCCTTCAGGAACGTAACCTTATGGCCGCTCGTACGACAATGCGTGGGGGAAAACCCGAGGTCCCTCGTTAGGTTTTTTTACGCCCCGGATCCGAATTCGCCGTCCGTTTTAAATTCTAACATGTTAGTAGAGTTTAACTAAATGGTCCCTAATTGTGTTTAGGTGCGTTGGCGGGAAGCGACGTGATCCTAGCTAGTTCGAGCAGTTCTTGGGCAATAAAATCAGTGAGTGGACCCCTTCTTAACTTACTTGTTTTTATAAAGTATTAGCCTAGCATGCATTCCATATTTCATGATTTGAATATGATTTATAATATGCTTTATAGACTTTTATAATTATGGTTTACGAAATAGTTTGATTTATCGAAATTACATTTCATTAAAGGTATTGAATTATTGGATTCGTATATATGGATTTCTATGATTTTTGAATATGATTTATATTACGGTTTTACAAACATGAATTATTTTATGGATTTCATGAATACGATTTATCTTGGATTTATGAGATGAGGTTTGACCTAGCGAGCTCCATATTTTGATACGAGTTTTGGAGATAAGTTTTTGGTACTAGCTAGTAGGTTATCATATGGCACATCCGCACACCACAGGTATAGATGTCTTTGGTCGTAGGACACAGAGGATAGAGGAGTGAGATATGATATATTATATACCCCTAGCTTCACTGTCGAAAGTAATGTCGGACAGCATCATTAGTAGTGTCAGTGTGGATG